TACAGTACCAAGCGCAGCGATAGCACCCAGTGGCACGACGATAGCAACCTCAGCGAGCACTTCAATCGCCCCCACCATCTCGACCAGCAGTGCAAGCAGCGTGGTTGGCGGTGCGGCCATTGGTGGCTATGCGAAATCAGAGGCAAGCAAAACAATTAGCAGTAGCAGCAGCAGCACCGGCAGCAGCAACAGCAAACATGGCAACAGCAGCAGCAGCAACAAGGACAACAACAATGTTGTCACAAGTGGAGCAGCTGGCACCAGCAGCAGCAATAGCAGCGGTGCACCCAGCTTGTATGTTTCGGTGCCGTTGTCCACGGCCAATGTACCTGGCATCAATCTGCCCAACAGCAGCAGCAGCAGCAGCAGTGGTGAGTTCAGCAATATGCCTAAATTACAATAAATAGCACGAATTTATTATTTCCTTCAATCTCACACAGAAACGCACCCAGCTCAGGCGACACAGTCACCGCTGACCGTCGGCAGCGCATTTGTAACGGGCACCGCGACAGCTGCAACTGCGGCAGGCAGTGCGACCAGCTCCGGCTCTGTTATACAACATCAGAGCGGAAAGTCCTCGCCAGCGTTGGGCGGGCTGGTGAGCAGCAGCGCCAGCTCGGTCAACCTGACGGCCACCACGACGGAGAGCGGAAACTTGAAGATCAGCTTTGAGAAGCAGACGACTCGTGTGCAGCAGCTGCAGGAACAGGAGGCGGCACCGGCGCGACGCAGCAGGTAATTATGGAAACAAACTCACCACAGCAAATTCACCATGGCTCATAGTTACAACAGGCCAACAAACAAATTGTTTCGATTAGTTTCAGTTGTGTTCTGTTGTTTTGTTGCGTTGCTTTTTATTACGTTTTCAGTTTGTGCTCAGCGAAAGCCAATCACGTGCTGCAATTCCATTTATATATCTTTATATATCCACACTTACACACACATTCGCACTCATTTCGCCAATATTAACTCACATACTGCGCTCTCTAAAGAAAATATGTTACTCTCTTTCTCTCTCCCAATTCTATTGCTCTCGCCTGACATTTTGCTTTATCCACCACATTGCAATATAACAAACCCACCACAAATTAACAACTAACCACAACAACACGTAGATCGCGCTCTGGTGAGAATGGTAATCATCACCACCATCACCCAGCTCACCAAACCCACCACAATCACCACCAAACAACGCAACCACAGCAATCACAATCGTCGCAGCATCAGCAACAGCAGCAACAATCGCTGCTTGCCAGCGCATCCTCCTCCACGTCCAATTCATCGCTGACCACGCCCACCAAACCGCAGTCACGATCAGGCAAGAAGCGCGCTGCTGCGCTCAACAAAAGTGAAGCAACAGCTGCAGCCACAGCAGCAGCAGCAACATCAGCATCTGCAGCAGCAACATCAACAACAACATTGGCGACAACCTCGAGTGCATCAGCAACTGGCCTAAGCACAGTCGATAAGCTGAGCCGCAATAGCAGCGGCAGTCGCCACAGTTCGCCCCACTATCGTGCCACACCCACACCACCACCACAAGCTCTGGCGCAGGCAAACTCATCTCCGGTGGTCATGTTGCAGGCGCTATCCTCCTCCTCCATTGACTCGCCGCCGGCAACAACTCGCAATACGCGTAACCAAAATAACAGCAGCAGCAACAACAACAACAACAACAATAGCCAAAGTCATGCTGCTGCCACAGATCATGCCGGCAGCTCAGCATCCTCCTCGTGCTCCTCCACATCCTCAATGTCCTCAGCCAGCAGCAATGCTGTTATTAGTCTCTTAGACTCGCCCGTCAACATGTCCACACACGCCCAGCAACCTGTTGCTAGTTACAACAGTAGAGCTGCCAACAGCAATGGCAACAGCAACGGCAACAATGTTGCTGGCAGCAGTGCTGCCAAGCCGTTGAATAAAAAAATGTTGCGGGCGCAGCAATCGCAGCTGTATCAGCAACAGCAACAGCAGCAGCAACATGTTAGTTTAAGCAATGCACCACCCGCTAACGTCTCCTCACCCACTAATCTTAGTTCAGCTAGTAATCAATTTAGTCAATTGCAACAGCAACAGCAACAGCAGCAACAGCAACAACAACAACAGCTTAAGCAACACCAAGATTTAGAAATTTTGCAATTTATTAATACAAATACCAATGCTTCTTCCATGACGACAACAACAACCACATCATCATCATCGTCATCGTCAACCACAACAACAACAACAACACCAACCACAAACAACAATAAATCAACATCAAAATGCTATAGGACACCCGATCTCAACACGGCCAGCAGCTCAAACAGCATCTCAGCAGCAACCACCTCCAGCAGCAGCAGCAACAACAACGCCATCGGCAGCAGCAGCAACAGTCTGTTAGGCGTCAACAGCAGCATGAACAACACGAGCAGCAGCAGTGGCGGCCTCAAGTTCAGCTACGAGGCACAAACAATCAGCAACCAGCTGGATGTGCCCATGCTGCCGGCCAGCGCCATCAAGGACTCGCCGCCTAGTTCGCCCGGCTCGGAAATTGGCGCCGCTTTACACACGGCGATAGCAGCGCCAACCACGGCCAGCAGCAATGTGCGTAAGCGTGGCCGCAAGGCCAAGGACGCGACATTGGCAGCGGCTGCTGCTTCGGCAGCCGCAGCAGCAACAGCGACTGCCACTCAACCGGATCTCAAGGATGTGCGCATCCTGCAAAATGGCATCGGAGCTGCCACCGTGCCAGCCAGCACGCCCACGCCCCCTGCCACGCCTGCCACGAGTGCGACAAGCGTCAGTGGCAGCAGCACCACTTCCAGCTCTGGCAACACCATCATAACGCACACAGCCACCCATATGCTGGGCAATCATGTTAATCCCAACAGCAGCGTGGCCCAGAAGCTGTCCGAGCAACTGCACATGGAGGTGCAGGATCATGCCATCTACACGTCCGACCCCATAACATCGCAATTTGTTGGTGTGCCGTTTCCCGGCAAGCAGGTAAATACCACAATTCAATTATTTAAAGTCGTCCCACTAATCGCTTTTCCTTTACTTTCGCAGCGCAATGCCAACGCGGCGGCTGCTGCTGCGGGCAGTGCAACGCCAGCGCCGAATCCGCTGCAATCCATGTTTGGCGGCGGCGGCATCAATGGCAACATGCCTATACCGCAGAGCTTGGAACAGCTGCTGGAACGCCAGTGGGAGCAAGGCTCCCAGTTTCTGATGGAGCAGGCGCAGCATTTTGACAGTGAGTATGGCTAATCCCCAAAAGAGAAACACACGCATACCACGAGCGAATCGAGTTAAACTTTTACTTTTCTCTAAAATACAGTTGCTTCGCTGCTGAACTGCCTCCATCAGCTGCAGAGCGAGAATTTGCGCCTCGAAGAGCATGTGACCAGCCTGATAGCTCGACGGGATCACCTGCTGGCCGTCAATGCCCGCCTCCAGATACCGCTCAACAATGCAATCAACAATGCCAAAGCCGAGACGCATGGTAAGTAGTGGCATCCACTCAATAGCACTTGGTGTCGGCACCCGCAACACACATACACACACCCACTCACACACACACACATAACTACAAATACATGGTTAATGGAGGCGCCTACAAAATAAAATCAAGTTTTTGTAATTGTACATACATATGTATATTGAACATGAAAAGAAAGTAAATATAACAGTCTATGTTATGCCTGGCGTTGCCAGACCTCATACTAATGCTACAAATGACATTTCGCATATATTCTCGCATTAATTAAATTAATTTAAGTTTAACTGGGTACAAGCGATCACTGTACATAACATAATATAACATAATATATATAAGCAAAAACAATACATTTTATCCAGCTAAAATTGAAAACAAATCGAAACGTTTTTAAAAGAATGAATACTTGTACAAATTATAAACATACATATATACACTTTCAATCAATTTTCTACATACGTACTTAAAACCAATTTTAAGCTTAGATAAGGTTTAACTTACATTTCCTACACATGTAACAAACCGAGCTATTTTACTTTACTCAAAATATGATTAAAATTAAGTTACTTTTATGCACATACGAACGCAAGATTTTTCCTTATTTTATTTATTTTAAAAATGAATAAAATGTGTTTTTTTAAACCAAACAAAAAATCTATCAACAAATTATGTTTATTTGACTTGTGTTTAATCAAATCTTCATTTTCTCACCAACTGTAAAAGCCTAACAATGGCATGGGCGCAACTAACAGCTGCAGTCTCAGTTAAGTGACAGCGCGTTATCATTTGAATCTAATCTCAACTCTATGCTAACAGAACAAGTTGCTGTAATCAATCATGTTAAATGGTGAAGTTTATTGGGCATTCTGTACAGACTTTTTTTTTGGTGCATGCAACTGAGCTACACACACAATCAATCACACAAATAGTATTTCACAGCTTAACATGTGTGTAAAAAGAGAAAACTTGTACAACTTTTGCCGTTTTCACGTCAGCCTCCAACAACAGCAGCAGCAACAGCAATAACAGCAGCAGCAGCAGTGCTCTCAATGCTACCACAACAATTGCAGCAGCCGTGTCGCTGGCCACAACCGCTATAAATACAACAATACCAACAATGGCTAACAGTCGGGCTAGCAGCGCTAGCAGCATCCTGGACTTTCGTGGCAACAGTAGCACCAGCAACAGCAACAACAACAGCAGCAGCAACAACAACAATATAAACAACAATCCCATAGCGTCTAACTCCAATGCAACCACATCAGCGACACCAACTGCTACCAACCTAGCCATGGGCAATACAACTAGCTTGGGCTTGAGGTGAGTTATAAAATGACTACAAATGCAACTAAGTCACTGTTAAATCTTTGCATTAGACACGTTACAACGTCTCATGGATCATATAATAGTAGTGCGAGCAACAGCAACAACAGTAGCAATAACAGCGCCAGCAACAGCATGCACACAACACATCAACAACAACAGCAGCAGCAGCATCAGCAGCAACAGCAGCAGCAACATGCGACGTATCTGCAATCGCAGCAACAGCAGCAGCAGCAGCCATCGCATTTGCACCACGGCAGTGCCGCTGTCGCCGCTCATATGTTGGGCGTCGGTATGGGCCCGGCTGCGGCAATTGGACGAGGTGGGTCAGCTACAGCGATTGCTGCAACCACTATAACAACAATAACAACCACAGCAGCAACAGCTACGTTGACAACAACAACAACAACAACAGGCAGCTTGCAACATGGTGTGGCACACTACGCGCATCCGCATTCGCACCACCCACACCACTTTCCTAGCATTCAAGTTCAGTTGGGTGCCGGCGGCGTTCACGTTGATGACTTGAGTAGCTCCTCCACCTCTTCCTACGCAGCGCATCATGCGCTCTACAGCACGCATCACCAGGTAGTGTGTGCGTGTGCGTGTGGGTGCATGTGTGTGTGTGTGAGTGTGTGTGTATGTGTGCGTGTGGGTGCATGTGTGTGTGTGAGTGTGTGTGTATGTGTGCGTGTGCGTGAGAGAGTTTTCCTTTAGAGCATTTTACAATTACAGTTGACACATACATATGCACATCCAACCATATATGTATATCTATGTATATGTATGTATCTATCTAATATCTGTTGTTGTTTCATGTTTATATCATTTTGATTTTATGCCGACCCATCATGCTGTATGTTTACATTCAATCGATATTTCAACCAGTTCCAAATTCATGTGATTTGTTTTGCCCCCAAACTGCAAGCGCCTTTCTCATCCAAAAATTATACTCTGCCACAACAAATTAATAATAATTGTATATGGTAAATTGTTCGTTGTTTTTGTGTGCCAGCGCTGAAAGATAATATAAACTGTTACTGTTAATTCTATGCGTTAACATTACAGATGCACTCGCATATTAACTAACATACTGTTGTCATCTCTATTACAGTCCCAACAAAGGCGCGACGATAACCTCGCCAAATCTAGCTGAAAGTCATATCGTGAGCATGAGCAGCAACAGGTCCCGCATCCATTGAAGAAGAAGCCGACACTGGCCAGACGCATCCGGCCGACCAATAGCACCAGCAACAAAACAAAGCCACTGATCACCGATAAGCCCGAAATCCACACATACACAAAGCTGAAGCAAACTGCCGTTAGCTTCCAGCAGCAACACCACAATGAAGAAGACGATGTAAGTGCGCGTGCTGTCGCATTACAGAAAACAAAATTAAATCAATTATTTCGATTTCAGCTCAGCAGCAATAGCAGCAGCTCTTCCACGTTTTCATCGTCCTCGCAGCAGCATTCCTCGGTGGACTATGAGGCGGAGGATGAGAACGAGGACAAACAGCGACAGAGAAGGCACAAAGATGAGACCGATAGCCTAATACATGTGCAGAACTTTCTGAAATGCTTTGGTGCCAACGCCGCGACGGTGAGGCCTCCAACAGCAACTGTTGCAGTTGCCGCTACAGTGTCAGATAAAGTGAGTGCAACATCGAGCTCTGAGCTGCGCAGATGGCGGCAATCACATCGTGCAACAGCTGCTGCCACCACAACAGCAACAGTAACATCAACTATAACAGCAGCAACAATGAGCGCCATTCAAGCAACAACAACAGCACCAACAATAACCACATCAACAATAACAACGCCACAAACTCTTTTGAGCAACACCAAACCGCAAAAATTTCAAATCAATACCAAATTTTTACGCAAGCCGCGTAACAAATTAATGAAAATGCTGCCAACAACAATGTTGCAGCAGCAGCAACAGCAGCAACAACAACAACAACCAGAACAGCAAACACAGCTATTTATCGATGATTCCAACGCCAAATTCAAAGACTTTTCAATTGACTCGTTATTGAATAAGTAAAGCGCAACAGATTTAACAATTAGCCCTATTATTTGTAGCCTAATTCTTCACAGAGCCACCCGCAAAAACCGCGTTCCTAAACCCCCAAACTACATATGTATATTATTTTTTTGTTTAGCCAATCGTACAGAATGAAACACATAGTAATCGAATATATATATATATAATTAAGTTGTTTATTTATTACATACATTTGTACAACTAATGGCGCAATTCGTAATTAGCATTAGCAGGCGTAAGCATATGTACATAAACAATTACTTAATTACACGTTAATAAACCACAGCAAATGTGCTAGAATTTAAACTATGTTTTTTTTTTTTTTTTGTCTTGGACATTTTTAATTTGAACTAGATGAACTTGTGCTAACAGATCCCTCCATCGGAATTCTCCTCCTTGTCGTTAGAGGCTGCCATTGGAGCTTCGAGGACTTCACGTACGCGTAACATCATTTCCTCGCGCACCTCATTTGGCACCATAGCGCGAGCCTGGATAAATTTAAAATGTAAGACAAGTAAGTAAATATAAACTTGACCAGTTCGAAACTCACATCCGGTATAATACTCTTGGCAAGCTCTTCGCGTGAAACATTAGCTGAATCACCTTCCTTCAATTTGTTCCGTATCATTTCTTCAATATCCTTTCGCCATCCGCAGTCATTTAGACGCTTTTCAAGAAAATCCTTTAATTCTTTGGTATCAGCACTATTAAGAAAAGACTTATATGTAAACTTAGAGTCGGTGCCAGTATCTTTGCTGTCTGCCATAGTTTAATTTTTTTATTAACATAAATCTCTGTATTTGTCGGTTCTGAATGCAACAATAACAAAGTACATTTCAACACACTCGAATAAGTATTTCAAAGCCAGCTTGATGGCATCGATATTTTTTTTAGAATTAAAATACTTGATCAGTTTATTATCGCTTTAATCGGTTATTGTTTAACCACCACAAAATACCAAATACCTGAATACCAACAATGCAAATTTTGTTAAAGCACTTAAACCCCGTCATATTATTATTATTATTATTATTATTATATATTAAATATATGAAAATACAATAATAGTTTTGTTTTGTTCTTACGAACTGTCAAACTTGAGCTCTTTAAGATTTGAAAGCTGTCTTGATGTTATCGATAGTTTTGTATTTTTCAATATGTCAATTCGTGACAGAACTTAATTTGTAATCGGCCGACTACCGTGACGACGAACTTAAACATTTTGTTGTATTTATAATTAATTGAAAGCAAAACGGACATTAAAACATATTATTATTATTACGTAACTGTGACAAATGAAACTCATTTGTTGGATATAACAGTAATAGCGGATGGCGAATTTGAGCAAAATACCAAGTACTTTAAAGGCCCCGAGAAGTATTCGAATGTCTCAATTGGTGGTGAGGTCAGTGTGTATTCACTCATAATATACCCACGTCAAATTTAATTAATTCGAATTGAATGGAAGTGAATTAAATTAAATGTGAGTATGAGTATGTGCTTGGTCTCATACCACACGATCTTTAATTCAATGAGTGAGAATAAATAAAGCAGAAAACACGAATTATATAACAAAGATAACATTATTTTGCACAAATACATACAAATAAAACGAGACGACAAGTCCCGAAGTGTTCTGTTTTGCTCTGCTTTAACGCTGCAAGCTAAACAAACAATATCGTAGACAAAGCAAACCAAACGAACCAAAATAAAACGGTACTGAAATTACGGATTGAATTAAGCTAAAAGTTGAAAATAAATGCAGGAATAACAAACTAAGCTAAACAAACTTATAAAAACTAACTACTATGTTTAGAAATTACCTTTATATATATATATATATATATATATATATATATATTTTTTTTTTTTTTTTTTTTTTTGTTAAATTCATCATCTTTTATTATTATTATATTTTTATTTTTAATTCGAAATACTGTGAAAACTTGTTTGTATGTGTATTAAATAGTAATATGCTAAAGCTAACCTGAAATAAGCAAAATCGGTAACTTAACATAACGAACAAAATATTTTTACGTTCGCTTTTCGTTCCTTGCTTCTTATTATTCTAACATTTACTTTACCCAGTCTTTCGATGTATACTTCTCGTTTCGTTCCAGACTATGTGTTGTATGGTTAGTGGCTCAACGCACTTGGCGCTTTAATTTATCATTATTCCTTTTGCTCCTTGATAAGTATGAATGTAAAATGGACTTGCTAGAGATCAAAAATGAAATTAGCTTCTATGAACAGGTATACAATTTATATATTTGAACTATTTAATTCATTCATGGCTTATTTTGAATATAGAGCTCGGAATCTGAATGTCCGTCCCCCTTGGATGGCTCAGTGAATGTCATTACTAATGATGGAACTCTGGATTTTAAAAGTAAAATTATTAGTGGGCAGATACAGCTAAAGGAAAAACGCGGGCGGAGTACAGTATGGAACATTTTTGCAACAATGATTGATGAAAATGGCGATGAAATTGAAAATTTTGTGGCATGTCGATACTGTTTCAGTTCGTTAAAATTTGCTAGCAGTACATCGAATCTGGTCAAGCACAAATGCTACCGTAAGTACAAGGCAAAAGAGAATCTACGCAATCCAAAATATGTTTCACTGAGCATCGAGGCCAAGGACAAATTGACTGATGCAGCTGTCCAGTGGCTGGTGAAAAACTGTCGCTCAAGCCACATACTTGAAGATTCTGGGCTGAAAGAATTTGCTCTCACCTTGCTCTCAATTGGCGCCGATTTCGGTGAAAATGTAAATCCAGAGGACATAATTCCAAAGCCAGCTACTATTGCACTCACCATAAATGATTTGTACGAAGAACGGCGTCAAGCGATTATAGCTGAGCTAGGCAATGTCAAGAGAAACGGCTACAACATCACAACAGCCATCTGGATGGACAATTGCTTAAAGCAGTCTTTAGCATCGGTCACTGTGCATTACATTCAGCAATCTGCCATGGTCAGTCGATTGCTCGCAGTTTATCCATTAGCAAGGGACAGGAACACAGGTAAATGTTTATTGTTTCATTAAATTCATCGATTCTCTCACCGTATATGAGCACCCGTTCGCTCTCATACACGGGCTTTAGTTAGAGTAGTGAATGAATGAAATAAACGGAATGAACAATTTTGCAAAGCCGATAGCACTGGTAAACGGTACTGTGCATTCGAAACGGTAAATGAGATACCCATACACTTGCGCAACTCGGTTTCCCACTGCCTTCCAAGCATCGCGTTCGAACGAATCAGTTGAAATGAGAAATATATACCGAAAAATTCGGCACAACAAATGTGAACATATTAAGAAAAGAAGCAAGGACCGAAATATTTCGTAACGTTTAAATATTTGGTGCGTTCTTGCTAACAGCAAATGTTGCCATCATAGCCCGTTTCATGCTAGATTAGCATCTTACTATTAAATACACATAAAAACAAATGTTTACAGTATGTTGAAATAATAATAATAATAATAAAATAATACATTTCAGTTCAGATTATCGATCTCCATTAAATATACAAATTTGTATATATACGTACATAAGTATATATTTATTTATGTAATTTAATTAACCATTTCAGGCAAAAATATCCTAGCCTGTGTGGAAAAATCATTACATACATTTGACTGCAATTTGGATGAGGATGACCCCATCATTGTGACGAATGGCGATTCAGCCGAAGGGGATGCCATAGCGGATGCCTTTAAAAATCAGCGTAGCATACGTTGCATAAAAAGCTTGTTGGAGAACGCAATTGAAGAGGTCTTTAGAGAGAACGTCGATTTGTATCAGTTGCTACAAAAGTGCATTAGCTTAGTTGAACAATGTGAAACGTCCAGTAGCCTGCTATCAGAATCTTACCCTATGTCTCAACAGTATTCAATTATGTACTACTTTGAGCTTGTCGCCGCCAATTGGGATGCTTTATCAGAGAGTATAGTTGATAAATCGGAGTCTACAAGAATCAGTATTGAGATTAAGGCTGTATCCAATATTTTAGTTAGCTTTACACAAACGTTCGAAGCCTTGAAGGAGCACAATATACCCACATTGCATATTGTTATCCCTCATCTGCATAAGCTCACTAAACTTTGTGCGAATAATGTCGAGGATAATTCAAAAGTTAATTTATTGAAAAGTTCATTGAGAACTTATTTAGAATCAATAGCCAAAAATCATATAACGAAATTTCACAAAATCGCCCTCTTTCTTTTTCCGCCTACAAAGAAATTGTTGCTCTTTAATGAGCCTGAAAGAAGGGACATAATTGCAGAATGTAAAGCAATGATGGAAGAATTTTACATCGAACCCGATAATGGCCCAAAAAGGATTAAATTAGATGATGAGTATCATGATTCTGACATCTTTTCCGATTTTGTGGAGCAAACCTCCACGGATACGAAGGCCGATGCCATAAATAATGAAATTAACGAATATCTGAGCAGAAATGTTGCGCTTAGCAAAGTATTCTGTATCCTAGACTGGTGGCGATCAAATAAAGGTGTATTTCCCCTGCTCTATCAAGTCAGCTGCAAAGTCCTTACTACACCTGCAACTATTGCACTTTCACAACGGGCTATTCTACAAGCGCAGAATCTCTTTAGTGATCAGTCGAGGTCAACTCAGTACTCCGAAGACGTGGTAAATGAAATAATATTTTTGAATAATAATATGGATAACATTTAAAATGTAGTTATCGCCAAATATTTTGAAGGGTTTTGTTTTTTTTCTTAATAAACCAATTTATAAAGTTTTACAATTGAGTTTTCTCTAAAATTGTTATCTTGAATATATACAACTTTTGTTCATTTTTTTAATTGGCATCAAAATATCTACGTACTCCATAATATTTAAATTTTACCGCGAAGGCAATAGTGCTGCCACATTATATATTCGAATGGCCAGACATATAATTTGAGTGCTTCATTTTTACAAAACTATCGATAGTTTCTACCTTGTCCGAAGAGTGAAAAGTACTCATAAAGTTTTATTTATATGTGTTGGTATATGCATACACATACATACCCATGGTATATATTTACAAACCTATATATGCATACATATAAGTACAAATGTATGCATACATATCTACATCGACTTTTAATGGTTTATTGATAAAACTCGAAAAGCATTCACATCGATTAACTATGCCAAATTGTTTCGTATGTCTAGCTGTATAACTAAATATAAGTATACCTACATATATACATTTATATACTTATGTATGTACATATGTACATGAGTACATTTGCATTGTTCCGATTTGTATGGTTTCAATCAATTTCAATTTGTTGCCCACACACCCGCCCACAGATATACGACAGAGCCGGCTTCATGGGTTGGAGCTGTCGTCATCAGCGCTTGAGGTGAACTTGAATCATACAAAAACTGATTTTCATATGAACGTGTGTGTGTATGTAGAATGACTATGACTATAATACAATCGTCGGAATATGGTCAGAAGAGTATAAACGATCAATCAATGTGGGTTTCGCTTGGGTCGATTGTATTTGATTTGAAACGGGCATTTTCTAATCATAACAACTGCTATCAAAAATAAATAATACAAGCTTCATTTTAAAGTAAACAATTACAATTTTATCCAGAAATGTAGATTACATGTCAAATTTTAAGATGGATACACATGCTACTACGTATGTGTGTATGTAGATATACATATATATAATGTACATATGTACATATGTATGCATGTTCGTATGCATTAAGAAACCCACACATTACCTCAAATCGGAAATCAAGTTCTGTTGGAAATGTATGCATTTCTCTACATACATACATATGAATGTGTATGTGCACATCGTATCTGGCAGTCGACCATCTGTGCGGCTTTTTGTGCATTTCCTGTGCGCTCTTGTGTTTCTCTGAAAATTCGATAGCTGCAGCTGTTGGCCTGCTTCTCGAAAATTCAGTACATGCTTAGAGAGAGGTAGAGAAGGCGGCTGTTACTGTTGCGACAGGCAACAACAAGCCGGTTTGCCTAGGCATAAATTGTATACGAGCAAAAGCAACCCCCGTAAAACATATCTTTATGTACATAAATGGCGAGGTACAGGCCACCGGCAATTACCTTACAGTCACATATACATATGTACATACATATATAAAAATGAAGTCATCGCCTGACTGTGTTATGCTGCAGCATGACTCATCACAAAATTGATTTCTTCGCTACGAACAGGCCTCTAGGGGAGGAGGGGCAACTTGGGGAGATGGGCTAATTTTAGGTGCATGCCACGCCCTGGTACAGTCTCATGCACTGGAAACTGCAGTAAAGTAGAAAGCCATTATTCTGCACTATTAATAGAGCGTGTAGCGCTCGCACTGCTTTCCCCAGCCACATCGGCATTTAGCTTCAATTATAACCGGCCCGGCCCGTTCAGTGAACCTAACTGAAAGAAATACTTGGAAGAAAGAGGGAATAAAGAAAATGCGCTTAAGATTTTCTATTGCTGGCAACACTGACTATTCGCTGACTTTATTTTCATACACAAGTTAAGATCCGTTTCTTTTTTTTTTTTTTGCTGGTATTTATGTGTAGTGTTTTTGTCATTAAAATACTTGTAGGTTTTCCCCAACGTTTACTAGAGTTTCTTTTTCATGTTATATTCGTGTGGAAGGCAAAACGTTTGCATTGGTTTCGACGACTTTAACGTCCACCAATGACGCTTGCTGCGTGTGCGCTGTTTTTTGGGAGTGTTTAGTACTCCTCGGCACCTTCACCCTCACCATCGCCAGAGTCCATGCCGACCTCCTCGTAATCCTTCTCCAGAGCAGCCAAATCCTCACGGGCCTCGGAGAACTCGCCTTCCTCCATACCCTCACCGACGTACCAGTGGACGAAGGCACGCTTGGCGTACATCAAGTCAAACTTGTGATCCAGACGGGCCCAGGCCTCGGCGATGGCCGTGGTGTTGGACAACATGCACACGGCACGCTGCACCTTGGCCAAATCACCGCCGGGCACAACAGTGGGTGGTTGGTAGTTGATGCCAACCTTGAAGCCAGTTGGGCACCAGTCCACGAACTGGATGGTACGCTTGGTCTTGATGGTTGCAATGGCGGCGTTGACATCCTTGGGCACAACATCACCACGGTACAACATGCAGCAGGCCATGTACTTGCCGTGACGGGGATCGCACTTGACCATCTGGTTGGCTGGCTCGAAGCAAGCGTTGGTGATCTCAGCCACCGAGAGCTGCTCGTGGTAGGCCTTCTCGGCAGAGATGACAGGGGCGTAGGTGACAAGTGGGAAGTGGATACGTGGGTAGGGCACCAAGTTAGTCTGGAATTCAGTCAGATCAACATTCAGGGCACCATCGAAACGCAGAGAGGCTGTGATCGAAGACACAATCTGGCCAATCAGACGATTCAGATTGGTGTATGTGGGGCGCTCAATGTCCAAGTTACGACGGCAGATATCGTAGATAGCCTCATTGTCTACCATGAAGGCGCAGTCAGAGTGCTCCAGAGTCGTGTGCGTGGTCAGAATTGAGTTGTAGGGCTCAACGACCGCAGTGGACACCTGAGGTGCAGGGTAGATGGCGAACTCCAGCTTGGACTTCTTGCCGTAGTCCACAGACAGACGCTCCATCAGCAGCGAGGTGAAGCCGGAGCCAGTGCCGCCACCGAAAGAGTGGAAGATCAGGAAGCCCTGGAGACCAGTGCACTGATCAGCCAACTTGCGGATGCGATCCAGCACCAAGTCGACAATTTCCTTGCCAATGGTGTAGTGACCACGAGCGTAGTTGTTGGCGGCATCTTCCTTGCCAGTGATCAACTGCTCGGGGTGGAACAGCTGGCGGTAAGTGCCAGTGCGCACCTCATCGACTACAGTGGGTTCCAGATCAACAAACACAGCACGGGGCACATGCTTGCCAGCGCCGGTCTCGCTGAAGAAGGTGTTGAACGAGTCATCGCCACCACCAACGGTCTTGTCAGAGGGCATCTGACCATCAGGCTGGATACCGTGCTCCAGGCAGTACAACTCCCAGCAGGCATTACCAATCTGGACACCAGCTTGGCCAACGTGGATAGAGATACATTCACGCTATAAATGAAAAATAGTAAAAGAAAATAGGAAGTTTGATTAAATACCGTTCTCCCGAAGTGAAAGAAATAAATCGATAAAGCCGCACCCATCACGATGCTGACATACTAGCGTGTGTGAGCGAAACAGCACACATGTTCAGCGAAAATTTGTCACAGAAGGGCAATTATTTCTAAATATACACTTTTTATAGATTTAAATTAAGCCGATTTCTAATAGATCATGGTTATGAGATATTTTCTCGAAATATAACCAAAATCTTTTATTTTTCTCATGACGTCACCACTTTTGCGGTGCCGCCATCTTGAAACATGGCTTCACTCCATGTTGGGCAGTGACACCCAAATTTCAATGAATAAAAATATTTTTTTTACTTTCAGCAAAATATGAAAAAATATTTTCACTTACCATATTGAGTTTTTATAAAATTTTTTTTTCACACGACAAAGAAAATTTTATAGAAATCTGTAGAGCAACTGTTTGAGGTCTGTCTCGGAAAGAATTACTACGTTCGAATTACCGGCTATGAGGCTTCACAAACGTATAACGAAAGTTTTCTCAGCGACTGCTATATATACTCTCGGAAACGAGAAGGTTGAAGTGTGTGAGTGAGTACAATTTGATATGATGCTCATTAGTCGATGTATCGATATTTGGTATAGATTGCTTGGTTCGGCGTTGCCACTACTTTGGTTTCCTTTTAGCACAACGCGCCTTGTTTAAATTGTAATTTGCATTTTATCTGAATGTATTACCTAGATAAGATATATGATTATTGTTTTGTGAAATCGGATTTGTGAAATAAGATATAAAATACATTTTTAATATTTAAATCTTGTGATGTATTTTTTTCAGTCATATTTTTACCATTTAAATATGCATTGGCTATGAGATAAGAGTTCACTTTTTCCTTGATCTCTATTTTCTATGCCTCACAAATATGTAAGTTTTTTCCCTTCTGAGTGAAGAGTATACCAAACTCTTAATATGGTTTGCCATGTTTTTATACTAGTTTAAAATAAGATGTGTGAGAAAAAATTATTGTCTTCCTTATTTGTAATTTTGGTTGTAATGCAATACTATAGCACAATTAATGTTCTGTATTTGGATGAAGTCAAGAAGTTGTAGCAAACGATTCAAAAATAAAAGCTTAACTTTTCATGAGCTAAGATGATGTACAGCGCTAACACTAACCGATTGTATGATTAGTGGCGCTAACCATGGCTAGTGTTTAAAGTTAACAGCAATGTTAAATTTACAGTATGGTAACCGTAATTTACATTGCACGAATCGATAGCAATTGTTGAACGATAGGCGAACTTGGCAATGTGGCTGGATAGAATAATTACTGCAGCCCTTGATAAATTCCTATACGCGCAAAATTAAAACTACAATTCAAAGTTTTATGCAATGCACGCTTTAATCAAAATATACTCGCGTATGTAATTTGTATGTGTATCGCTAGATTTTTATTTTACAGTTTATTATATTTATTGAATTTTTGTTTGCAATATTGTGGTATTTGTTAACATTATCGCGTCCCCAATATTTCTTGAACACAGTGTGTTTTTTGTTGTTGAACTTTTTCGTTTTTTTTTTTTTTTTTTTTTTTTTTACCTTGCATACAAAATAATAATACAAATAATCAATTTGTATAATGTAAATAGTGAGTAACATAATAATTTATAATGTGTAGGCTTTAAATTTGTTTGTAATAATGGCTGAGACGTTTTTAGTTTATTTCCCCAATATCTACTGATTTTTGGGGGAAAAAAACGTAACATTCTCTTAGTCGCGGCAAACATTTTAAACTGTACATATTTTTAGAATTTATTTTATTTATTTATTTATTTTAATTTTATTTTTTTTTGTGAAATGGTATTTGTTAAAGTTATTTTGTTTGTTTAGTTTGTAAGCTCTAGATTTGGTAAAAAAAATACATAAATTAATTGGTTGCTTGCTTGCTTGCCTGTTCGTCTGAGCAAAATGGAATACCATATTTGCTGCGATTGTTTCTGTTTAAATTATGTTTCAATCTATCAGAATTGCATAAAAACAGTTTGGGCAAATACTAGCTTAAAGGAGTATAATTTTATTAAACAATTCAACTCAATTACGAGCTCGAAATTCTTAATGCACATTAAACTTGTTAATTCAATTTTCATCATCGCTATGGAAATAATTTATACAACAGACAAATATTGATGTAGGAAATAAAGTGTTATTAAACAATATATGGATGTTTGTATATATGACATGCAAGTTGGGGTCTGTTGCAGTGGATATTGTAAATGATTGCGATTGAAATAATTATTAAACATTTGTATTAGGGCAATTAAGCAATTAAGTTTCGCAAAATTCATATATATGCAATTTACTTTCTTTTAACTTATATTTTCTTGAATTTTTCGTATTAATACATATATAATTAATTAATTATAATAAATAAAGCCTAGTTTTCATGCCTGCTTCAAACTTCGACATTGTTCAATTACTACAAATACATATCTACTATAAAGATGTGCATATTCATATACAACTTTAATCTAAATTATCCTGGAAAATTAATTTAATGTAGCCAGTCGCGCCATCCAGTGGTGTCGCACAGAATGGACAAACTGCCTGAAAGCCGTTGGTTCCGTGCGGTATTTCCACATTTGCCCAGTACCTGAATGATAAATAAAAACGAAAATTATTAAGATATTCTCTTTATATTATGACTGAAGTGAAGTGGTCATACTTGACAGTTTTCTCAGTCGCCATGTGTCCACATGGATTGAACGCGAATGTGGGTGCACCCACATCCACATAGAAGGCCGGCTCTAGGCCCATACATAAGGTAACAACTGGCCCCAATTCTAGGCACATAGGACAACGGCGAGCACCAGTATTCTCATCCTGACCCCAGTCATGATGACCTGTTGGACAAGAAACTCTTGACCTTTAGTACCAAATTTTCCATGAAAGACTAGATGAACTTACCCTGCACATGGCCGCAGTTTAAGTACACATAAGGCTGATTAACCTGATCACTGATATTTACTTTACGTGGTATAACCAATGTATTAAGGCCCACCGGGCACTGTGGACGACCCGCGTTAATGGCATCGATAAGCTTTTCCAAATCGTGTTTGGTCTGTAAATACGATGAGTGGGTTATTAAGGTCAATTAAAATAATGGTTCAATTCATATTTATTACCGGTGAATGCTGCAAACCCTCGGCGGAGCGCCAGAGCAGCGTTGCGCCGCAGAGATCAATGAGTGTGCCATCCTGCAATATGTTGCATTCATCATAGATCTGGGCAAATGAGAGCATATAAATTAGATCCACTTCGCTTTTTATAGACATTATAAATATGTTACGTACAGGCTGACCCTTTTGTTGTGCCGAACGCGATTCGCGCAGGCTGAAGACATCGCCACCCACGGAGCACTCGCGCCATAGGCCGCACTTGGCGTTGCCGCCGCAGAACGAGCCCTTGGGGTGCATTATTAAGACACCATTAGTGGTCAGACCGTCGATTTCCACATTATCTTGCCATTTTGTTGCCTTTTCCTGCAAACAACAATGAAGCTCATTAGCATGAGAATTTCATAAAGAGTTTGGCACAGTTTACTTACGCCCAAGAATATATTTCTGCTCGAATCAAATCCGGCGGCAAAGATTTTTGCCTTGGCGGGCTCACATCGATTCACCAAAATGCGGCACGCAAAACGAGAAATCGTGCTCTGCATTACCTTCGCATCCTTCTTATCACCGGGCAACGTGTCCATTACAACGAAATCAATGGGCGATTCTGACGAGCGTCCCACCTAAAAATAGTTGAGCCATAGTCTGATTAGTCAAAGCAATCGCTGATTAGGCCCTCATTGATTGACCTAGCTTGTATCTACACACACACACGCACACAGACACGCATACTTAATGCAACACTCAACTGCCATTCGATCCATCTATCAATGTTCAAATAAATGCCAAATCATGCAATATTGGTATTTCACTTCAAACTCGTAAGGAAGTGCAAATGAAATTGGACGCGTTGCCATGCCAGAGCCGAAACGGTAATCAATATAAATTATAAATAGATTTATCCTTATACTCAATGTCAGAACTAACGCAAATTATGGAATGACTAAGCTTTAACCGACTCAAACAAATACATATATATATTAGTGAGCTAAAGTTCAAGTTAACTATATAAGTTTAAATGTTGAAAATAAATTGGAATTATAATTTTTGATAAGCAAAAAAAAAAACTTGGTTTTGACTTTGAATTGTTCTAGAAATTATTTTCACAATTTTATCACTTGTTTTTTTTTTTTTTTTAATTTTTTTTTAATATTTTTTTTTTTTACTTTATGATTTATATTTTTAGTTTGTTTAATATTGAAATAAATGTAAAATTGTTGATATGTCCGATTTCTTATATAACCTCAAAAATTGACTTTGATACGAAAAAATAATTAAGCTATGTTATTTCATTTGGGACTAAATCGATTTATCCTATTCTCTAATTCCTAGTTCAGCATCTGTTATATATATATATTTATTTCCTATTGTAATTACTCACAAATATTTTTGCAATTTGTACTTCAATTCTTCTCTTTTTTGAACTCACCTGAAACATATCCGTTTCTGTGTCCTCCTTGTACTCGACAATAACGGCCTGACTGCGTGATAGTGTGTACGATATTGAGTGCTGGTTGGCATCCAGTATAGCCTTCGATGTCTGTGGTGATTGTACGATATAGTGTTTGGATCGCTTGACGCCGCTTGGCTCCGTGCGTTTGTGCAGCACGAATTTGGAGCGTCGACGGCCGCGATCGCCCTGCGGCAAGTAGCCATTGTAGCTGCAAATGAAACGAAATGAAACAATATTTTACTCATATGAGTCTAGAGTTCTTTGGCTGATTTATTATCAAAGCAGTACATGCTGCGTTAAAGAGATACAGAGACCCCAGTCAGCGTATCAGTCTCCATTTTGGGACCACGAATATTACGAAACCCACAGCGAGAACAATTTGTTTCATTCGTTTTATAGGTCAAGTTCTGCGTCGGTCGGCAATGTGTTTACACAATCAGTCATGCCCCTGCCCCTACCCCCGTCCTAGACACGAATAATGAGTTAAGGGAATTTTGTCGAATAGAGTACATTGGCGAGTCAATAAGTTAATTGCCAGCTCATTACTAGAATTCTATGGGTTTCTTTCTATATACACAACCAAGAAGTTTTTAGGTTGTCAAATGGTTTGCGCTCTAAAAGATCTCTTAATATCATTTGCGGCTGTCGATCACACAGAGATCGCTCTTTGATTAGCTAAAAGGCACGCACACTGCCTATCAAAGGGCTAGATCGAAGAGTTTATTACCACGGTGCTTTAAAAATAGTTTTTATTGATTAAATAATTATGTGCGCTATTACAATTATAGCAAATTGAGGTAACAGTGTTAGGAAAACATGAAACATTAATGTTGAGATAATAACTATAGCTAAATAAAGGTTTTTCCTCAATTTATTTCGATAACTTTTCATTGCCTCATATATATATTTTTTCTACCTAACTTTTGACAATTTAATGAGCTGACAGCCCACATAAAATTACAATAATAATGTTGTATAGTATACGATTTTATTAACAAGCATTTCGAAAACGTGCCGATGAACCCAAACCCTTAGTGTGTATACAAAAACACAATAATTGCTTGGCAATTTCTATGGAATAGAATATCCAACATGGGATATATGAATACATATGAAGTTCCTGGAAAATCAAAGTGAAAAAAGCAACAAAAATAATTCGAACAAAATAAACAAGGGGTGAGCATAGTGGGAAATGTGGACATTTGAGACCCGTAATTACTCGGACACTAATGCTAGTGATGTTATGATATATTAATGCTCACATTTAAGAAGTTGTAAATGATATTTAACGCATTAGCAAAGCGAGGCGACAGTGCGACGACGACGACGACAAAAATAAAGAAACAAAAAAAGAAACCAAAGCAACAGAAATAAAAGTTGTTTTGTTCAAATTTGACGGGAACAATTAAGACCTGGTACGAGCATGAGACAAATGCCTTGACTGCTCTTGAATACTATATACGGGGATTGTCTTCGCAATTGTCTTTATATCATATATCACCAAGCAGCGAGACGAAGACATTCGAACGGTGTACGATCCATTGCGGTGCTCAGAAATGAAAAACATTTGAACAGTTGTTGTAGACGAGCCTCTGTTGAGCCTTGAGTTGTGGAGCTGGGGAAGATGCACTGCAGCACTTATACGGCGATAAGCTAGTGCTAATGACAATGACTCAGGCGCAAGCACATTTGACTCACGTGTGAGTCAGCTAACGCGTGCGCGCCGGGTAATCAGCGCAATGTCAAATGTCTCTGGTCAGACAGAGTCAGAGACTGGGAGATAGAGAGGTAGAGGGGCAGACAGACAGACAGCCATCAAGATGTACAAGCGGGCATCGCAGCTGCCGGCCGAAATCATCAATCTCAGAGCACTGCCGGCTGCAGCGTGAATCTAATTTATGTGCCTAACTGGCTGACTGACTCCCCAGCCAACTGGCCAACCGGCCAACCGACCGACTGACTGACCAAAACCAAACTGGTTGCGGCTTACAGCGTTACAGACCAGCAAGAGTTAAGCCTTTTGTTCTGTAGACGCCCCAGCACGGTTGGCTTGCACAGGTCAGGCAACACTGTACACAGCTGGAGGGAAGGGTAACGCACACTGGGGCAAGAGCATGGGAAATATCAACGAAAATCAGTAAGAGATCATAAATAAGTATTTTATTACACTTATTGACATTTTTACAATTGTTTAATTTTAGTATTAATAAAACTGAATTTTATAAGATTTTTTTTTATGTATATATACATATATTTTTCTTCTTTTATTTGTTGCTTCTCTTTTTTGATATTTTTTTAATCTGTCGGTCAATGCCATCTATAGACCGAAGCTACGAACAAACCATCTGCCCAAGCATCCAATTAATAACTTTAGTTCTAAGCTTGACTTAAGCCGCAATGGATTTTCGTTTATAATTTTTGGTATGAGCCACATTCATTTGGGATTATTTGAGGATCTTAGTTTTACCATAAACAAAAGTAATCTGTAAAACAGATTAATGACTAGAACTTTAAGCCAGAACCGGCTCATATGAAATTAGGCCATAATTATAATAAGCCAAAGCTCTTTAATCTTGAAAACGTCTAAACCTGTCTACGTTGCAGCACAACAACAAGTTTTACAAAATAAAATTTAAATAAAATAAAATAAAACTATTTATAAAATTTTGAATAGAAAGAAAATTTAACTAGTTTAAAGACATGGAATCTTTGAAATGACTGCACTTACCCAAGTATAACCAATTCTCCGTATCGCAATCGGGGTTTGTCGTGCCCATCGCCAGCGTCTTCAGCCAGTATGGGAGATTCTGTGCCGTCGGTTCTGTAAATGCAAATAAAGAATATCAAATTTGAATTAGATCAGATGTTGTTAACAAAAGAAAAGTTTAGCGCATAATATAGTTAAGTAACTGCCGGAGCTGACCTCAAATCTCATATGATATAACACTCGGCGGTGGCGCCGCTTTGTTTAGAGCTCGAAAGGGGAATACAAACACAAACAATAAAAGTAATATAATAAAAGAAACTTTTTTCTTTCTGTTTTTTGCTTTGTAAGTTCGTAAGTTAAGGCAAAACAATTTCAGAGTAGAAATACAAATGCCGAAGGAATTGCTCATTTCCAAGCATTTGCTTCGCTGCCAGTTGGAGAATTTCAAATGGGGGAAATATTCAAGGCATCTCATTCTCTCTCCCTCTATCTGTCTCTCTCTCTCTCTCGCTCTTTTTCTCTCCCTTTGCATTACAATCCATTTTACAGTCCGCCTTTTGTTCAACTCATAAGCATGTAAATTTGACACTGACTCTGTCAGCTGAAGTCATAGAAATTTCTTTAGTGCAACACCTCAAGTTACCTGTCCAGTCCACACTAATAGCAGGCTATGCGCTTTTGAGGCCAAGCTGTCAGTAATGAAAAGGCGATAGAATAGAATAGATAACTCGGTATCTCATTAGCCTGTGAAGCGCATAGCTCTCTTTTATTTATTTATTTTTTGGGGCACGTCATATACTTTTTTACAGCAATCTAATAAAGCAACTTGGCGCCGGTTGACGCCTACACAAGCCATGGAGGGCACGTCCCACCCAACCCCAGCAACCAGTCCACGTGGCAGCCGGCAACCGGCAACTGGCAACTGACAACGGGCAAATGAATTTTACCCCGGTTTAAACTGGACTAGACTGGGCCAGAGGGTGGCCTGGGCTGGGCGGCTGACTGACGAAATGCTTTGGGGTTGCATTGATTTTTGCTCGTTGCATTTAAACTTGCTCCCCTTTTTGCCTGTTGACAAGCAGCGGGTCAAGAGGAGAGCGGTGGGCGGTGCAGGCACTTGAAATTGTGCAGCGCAGACAGAAATTGTGCGCATAAAGAGTGTGTGCGGGGGCGTGGTGGGGCGGCCACACAGACTGTGGCGTGTGCAAGGTAAACAGAAATTCTCTATGTCTGTCGACATGTTGCTGGGCATCAAATTAGCGCTCTGGCGTTGTTTAGATGCACACGCGTGCAGCTAAACAGATAGATATATATATCTACATAAATATATATGCATACATGTATGTATATGGATAGACGTACCATTTGCCCGTACAGTCTGATCTGCAGCTCAAACCAAACATAACGTTGACTTACTCAGCCTCAGAGGTCGTAAATCAAATTGAAAAGCACATTAACAGCGCTTCAATTTCAGCTAACAGTCGCCTGTTAACCCTCAGCTGCAGCACTGTTATTTAACAGGGCACTCAGCCTCAGCGGCCGTAAACCAATTGGAAAAGCACATTAACAGTGCCTCTATTTCTGCTAACAGTTGACTGTTAATCCTCAACTGCAGCGCTGTTATTTAACAGTGCGCTGTCTTGAGACTTGTTTACTTCACACAACTTGGCCAAAATGCATTTGAGCACATAATTTACACGTATTTGTCTTAGTTAAAAGAAACAAAAAAGATGTCAGGTTAACAATGTTTATTTTTTTTGGAATGACCTATAAATATTTATTTAGGTTTAGTAATGATATAAATAATGTGTATGATGATGACTAGGCAAACGAAATTATTTTAAATTAATAAGTTGGCTAAGTAACTAAGTAGTAGCTGTAGCTCAATAAATAACTCTCATATCTTTCAAGTACCATTTAAATTTAATTTTTAAGTAATTATTTTATTTTTATTAATATTAATATTTTTCTTTTCTTTAGAGCTTTGTTAAGATTATGTAACTATGCATTCCTAACTATTGTAAAGCTGCCAGTACCGTTATCTAGCAGTCATGTAGTCTACAGTATGTGTGCATTTAATTTAATTAACAAATCTAAAGCGTAAAAGACCCGCAAGCTAACACAGAAATCTCTTTAAAAACGAGCAAATGTATTTTTTTTTTTTTTTGTCACAGCGAATGTTTATTTATGTCTATTAGACAACTTAAATTCAAGTAAATATTTTGTCAACGACAACAAAACAATTGCCAGAAATATGCGCACAGAGTTGAATAATGTGTGTGCTTCATAACAGCTGCCCAAATGGCACAATTGTCAATTCAATTTGGAGGGGGCGGAGACGTGCCCAAAAATAAAATAAGGGCCATAGCTATAAATCTGAATACTTAAAAGCTTTAACAGAATTTCCAGTTACGAAATGGAAAAACTATTTGCGTTTCTTGTTAGCCACACACACACACACAAACAATCACACACACACACAATCAGCTGTTTGTAGGGCCACAGTGCTTATCGATTTTCAAACTGGCAGCGCAAGAGTAAAGGCATTCTGCATCCATTTCAGTTGGTTATTTCTTTTTTTAAACTGCATATATACATATATGTATTGTATATATAGAACTGTATAGTAAGTAGCAGAATTTAACACGTGTATCCATGAGATACGGCAACGCACAGTTATATACCGAAACGCCGCTAGTCGGTGTATCAATTTGTGTGTGTGTGTGTGTGTTTGTCTACGTATTTGTTTAGTTGCCCCCAACGTCATTTGAAGGGAAATCAATTTTTAACCAAGTCAGAATTTGTATGTGTGTGTGTGTGTGTGTGTGGGCTCGAAAGGCGTATAAATGTATATTATATACGTTAGACTGCCAAACACACGCGCTTGTTTTGCTATTGCCTGACAACATGCCGCAATCGATATTTGTTGCTGTTGTTGTTGTTTTTCTTTTTACCTTTGCTTTTCGTGTTGTGCCACATGCAACGCAATTGGCGCGGCAATCGCATTACAATAAATTCACCTTTTCAGCTTGAAAAGGCGGACCATTGCATGCCAACCTAACAAGTGCATTGTGGCCCCAGCTCTGAGCTAATGTCAGGAACAGGGCAAAGGATACAAAAAAAAAAAAAAAAATCAGGCCAGTTTGCACTGTGGTGCACGGCAGGAACGCGGTCGTGCTTCACTTGGCCTGATTTTAATGTCACGAGTGCAGGCACACAATATAGCCAATATGTATACATACATATATGTATGTATGTATGTATATAGCTTTTATGCAAATGAAATAGATTATTATTGCTTATATATTCATTTGATTACGCGCACAGCCGAGTATTTCGATGCTAATGACTTCCTCTAATTGACCTTACGAAGGGCTTTTAGCTAATTTAGCTTAGTACCTTAGCCCTTCGAAAGGTTAAGCTGTCAGTGACACTCAACTAAGAATCAATTTAGATAAACGATGTGCTATACTGAACATAATTCAAACTAAACGCACTGCGTGGTCATCTAAGCCAACTCGATGCTTATCCCTTCTTTTGATCTGTCCGCATTGGCCCAAGCTGATTGATGGAACACAATTTGTTTATTGAAGGTCTTCGTCCTTTGAATTAGAACAGAAATTTTGACAGCTGAGATTGAAATGATTTGCTGCTTAAACATATTCTAGTTTTTCGAAAATTATATTATAATATTCGATCATTTACTATTCTAGATCAGTTTCCCTAAATCTATCGTATATTCACTGCTTAATAATAGTTCTATAATCATAATAATTTTATAATAGCATATCATTTAATCATGGAATACTTTTAGAAGTTCAAAAAGTAGTATGAGTAATACCATTTCACTTATTTGTTTATTATAGATTAGAATTAATCTAAAACTAAGATAAACTTAACAATTAAACACTGAGTTTTCAGCCTTTGGCTTGTGAATCATTTCATAAATGAGTTCATTCAACATTTTGACATCTAGTATAAATGCAAGAGCAACAACTGCAAACGGCAGTTACCTGCCGACTCTCTAGACAGGTAAATGCGCTAATAGATATTGAGTTTCTTCTTCAATCAAAATACATACACATATATGCATATATGTACATGTGTATTGGATGTTCGCTTGTGCAGCTGAAATCGGAGCTGATTGTGAGCATGTCAAGTGTCTGCTGAATAGCTGAAATGTGCAACCTGCAAGTTCGCCGCTTGTCAGCAAAAGTGCAAATGAAAGATTAAACAATAAGCAAAGGGAACAATGGCACCGCAGGGCAACCCAAATAGACAAAGCCAACAGCTGAGAGGGCGACAGAGAAAGGCGACACCTTTCGCAGGTGCCCAATGATGCCTTGATCCATGGCATGGCATGGTATGGCAGGTGTTTCGTTACCATATTTTATGGCCAAATTTGTGGCTGTGCTTCGTTTGGCTGATGGCACTTCAGACCGCTTCATTCATATGCCAAAGGTGTAGCAGCTGTACACATATATATTTCTATCTGTGTATTTGCAAATGTATCTGTAGCTGTGGACATTGTGTATCTCTGTGTGTGTGCGTGTGTATGTGTATCTGGCGGCCTTTGCCACAGCTGTTTGCATTTCAAGAATGAAATTCTCAACGTGCAGATACAAACGCGAACAGTCAGACAAAGAGAGAAAGAGAGAGAGAGAGAGAGATGCCGAAAAAACTCGTTCTACCAGCGAAAATCGAGCAGAAAGCGTGGAGGGAGTAACAAATTGCAGAGCATAAAATATGCGCAGCTGAAATCCAAAAATAATGCGAAAAAAATACTCACAAGCCACAAGATTGTTTTCAAAGAAACAGCTAGAACTTTGCGGATTAAGATGCTTAAAGATGCAGATGCACAAAGAGATAAACAAGCAGATACAAACATATACACAAAGATCGTTTTCAAGATACCAAAATACACTCAAACACATACACATTGAAATTTACATAAAGTTATATATAGAGATAAACAACAGCATTATCAGTCCGTCTTACACGCCCTTTGCCCTGGGCTGCGAGACTTGTTAGCGACGGCTTACTAATTCCGTTTATGCAAATCTCCATGTCAATTTCTAAACAACTTTTCATCCGCCCGGCCAGCAGCAGACTAA